CATGTTCCCGGTAAGAAATATATAGGAACTAAGTGTTGTGTCACTTATTGTACAAGAAGTACTTCGAGAAAAAAACCAAGTACCAGAAGAGCCACTTACCTACCAGATAGCAACTGCCTTGTGATAACTGATAACATATTTTATTTTTTTCGTAGTGATAACAATATAACATTGTTGTTTTTTGGTTTAATATGCGATATCACTAAATCAGCGTACTTATATAAATGTTTTCCTAGTATTATATTTTAATATAAATTATGAACATTTTAAGAAAGAAAATAGAGGTCATGGAGGTGGCAACTGCCCCATTCGCCCCCCTCCTACTTGAGGAAGCCCCTTAAACAAGAAGGAAATGTGCTATCAGAAATGTAATTGTTTACTAAATAATTAAAATAGTTGGCGACTCTATAATCAGTTGGGCATTCTGGCATCAAATCTTCAACAAAACAATCAGACACTTCTTAGGGGTCCAAATATAATAAACCAAAAGTGTACTTAACCCATTAACTAATATCCGAATTGTTTTTATCCATAGGTTTTATAACGTTCGCTAAAATATAATATTTGACTGAATTATTTCCAACTTAATTTTAAATTGATCTTAACTACTCTGGGCGAAACGGAAATCATATGAAAACAAAATTTGAGCTAAACGGTTGGGTCATTTTTGGGTGAAACGAGTGCCGCTCATATAAATGGCATATTATAGGTATTATAGGTACTATAGATACTAGTATATTTTACTATTACCCAATTTAGACCCCCCCAAAAAACCGGGCACAATTTACTATAGTATTTTTACTACCCGCTCATTGTGGGAGCAATTTACTAGAGCCTAATTCGTTCATAGATTTTCCTTTTGGTGGTGGTGGTTGGAGGAATTAACGTACGTCAAAAAATGGAAACTAACATGGCCATTTATTAGTATTTTTAAAAGATGACCAAAGTTGGCAGTTATTGCTCTAGTATTTCACCAGTTATTATTTATTCAAAAGTCTCAAATTCCGAATTTATATTCATGATAAATTAACCATAATTACTGATTACTTCAAAATAATTTCACAAAAAACAAGATTCTTCAACAAATTAGAATAAATCAACAGTAATGTTACAGTTGTCGTTTATTCAGTAATAGATTGATGATGCAAGGACAAGGTTTTAGTGTTGAAAATAATATATAATCTGTTTTTTATGTAATAAATATTAATTTTTTCATAAAACTTTTATCTTTAGACTTAAATTTACAAAACCATTGTTTTGATAATGAATAATATTTGGTATAAAATAACATAATACTATATTATTAAATTACGATTATGAATTGTTTTTAGTAAACCATTAGCTATAGTTACAACTGACAACACAAAATTCTTATTTTAAACTCAAATTATTTAATTTAACAAACAACCTCACAATTAAAAATTGCATTATGTAGCATTTGTTATTTCTAGTATAGTTAGTAGTAAATCTTAAAATCAAAAACTGTGAAATTTACTAAAACTCTATTGTTATTTTAACAACAAAAGATTATTAGTTTTAAAAATTCTTTAGAGTAAAATTAACATTTCTATGGTTAAATTATTATCAAGAATTGCTTGTTGATATTCAAAATATTGGATGTTAAAATGACTAAATATATAATTGTTAAGTTATTAATGAATATAATTTTAAAGTTACATAAGAAAAACTTAATTTAATCATATACTTAAAATAATTTTACTTTCAGTTCAAATATAACATAAAATGGTTAACAAAGCTTATGCATAAAGTGTTTTGTCTATACTTAGTGTAGGACTTCAACATTTAATACAACACTCCAATGTTATTATTTCATATATGAATTACAGTTAATTTGGAATTTACCTACTTAACAATTGATTGAAACTAAGTGTAAGCGCCTTAAGTAAGCGCTACCTGTAGGAATACTCTAGGCAACACTCGGTGATGCCCGAAAACAATATCTGTTTTTGACTATGGCCAATGCCACCACTATCGCCCACTATTGCATTGGGTAGGCAACCATATTTTCCCTCGCCTGATATTTCAAGGGTATGCAATTCTACGCACGACGACGGGAGAGACCTATCGAAGGAATTAGGATGGTGCAAGTTAGTTATGGGGAGGAGGTCTCTGTAGTCGATTTGGTCTGGTGCAATGACTACAGAGCTCACAAAACCAGTGACAGTACTTAAAAACTAACTTGACACTACTGATGTCATGAGATGACGATAGTCTGACGATGACTTTGAGGCAGACGTCGATCTGGACGACCCTGGCGGCCTCTCAAACAACGTATGCATGTTGCTGGCGGACTTATGCAGGGATTACTGACGGCACCGACGTTGACAATAAACAGCTGCCAAGTTTTGACGGCGACAATATCAATAGAAATAAAGTAAAGACTTACGATTGCAGTGACTTTATTTCTCTACCTCAAGCACAATAATAGCAGATAATAATATTATACTATAATGCAACAGTATGCACAGTAAATGTAACAATATAATGTGATCGCTTTATTAGCGGATACACATACAAAGAACAGAATCACTTTAATAGAGGACCAAAAACGTGAATGAGCGACAGACGGCAGTCGTTGCTGGAAGACATTACGACACCAATAATAATGATAAAAATGGTAAAAATATAATAATAGTAATACAATTTTTAAGAAAGGTGATATACAATGATTATATGAGGCATGATATATTCACACGAAAACAACACAAAGATAATAAATAAACATAACAATAATTATAATAATTCACAATAAACGGAATGAGGGGTGCATGGGTGAAGAGGAAGCTGATAGGGATGAGAGGTCGTCGTCGTCGTCGTCGCCGCACAGAATTGCATAACGCGATTCACTAATAGCTTGGCTCGAACACTAAATTTAACTCCAATATTTCTATGTGTGAAGAATCGTAGTTAGGTACTATGAAAGCATATGAAACCCAATATTGAGTTTTCCACTTTTCTACCGATCGCCCCAATTATAGTTACCGATACTTCAAAACAGAATGATTCAGCTACAGCCTCAACAGTGGATGTTCAACTGGAAATTGAGGCATTGGAATCCTTTACACTGTAACTGTTTATCGTTTATTAATTCAGGATCGTGTTGTAGAATAACTAGAGCTATACTAGAGCAGTAAAAAAATTTGTGTAAATATAATTCAGAAATAATTTATAACAATAAAAAAGTATATTTAATATTTTGTGTTTTTTGCTTGAAATATTATTTTAGTAAGGTTAGATGAAAAAATAAAATGTTGGTGTACACACGGTAAATATTTTTGTGAAAGAGGCAAATAGGAGAACAATGAGTGTGTAATCTCCGTAATAATCGATAACGTAAATCCTCCCAGAGGGACATTCTCACTTGAACAAATATTTTTTCCGTTGAAAACAAACTTTGAACATACAAATACATACTACTTGGTACGGTTTTTGTTCCCAATTCGTACTCCATATTAATACAGTTCAATAGTCGGCGTGAACACTCTCAACAATTGTTATTTGACGGGTATCTTTAATTGGTACATATAACCAAATAAGTGACAATTGGCAGTTGAGGTATACCAATTACTAGTAATAGTACTAGTTTACATTTTAAGAATTTAAAATTTCTGGTAAAAAAAATACAGTATAAAACATTGTTTTATTATTATTTAATTATACTATTATTTATCAATTATCAAAACAACAACCAACAACGGTGGTGAATCTGGACGTCAATACAATAATATATAGTAATACCTAGTTTATTTTAGATAGTAAATAATAATTTTCTTAATCATATAATACATCATAAATAATAAGGAGTGCAAAATGTTAACATTATATCATCATATTATCATTGTTATTAAACTAGGCATGATGCGTGTAAATTATTTCAACAGAATGTTATACTAAATAGTATAATAATTAATATTATTGAGCACATTCATTAACATTTTGAAGGTGATTGAATCTGAAGATAAATGCTGACTCCACACAACGAATGACAAACATATAGTTGATAAGAAAAGCATTTGTCGTTTAACTAATGTTTATCGAATGTATACATTTCCAAAACACAATGAGGTGCGCAATTTATTTGTGAAACACGATTGCGAATGTGTTAATTTATTAGTTCCTCTTGTATGGCAAACGCGCACGATTGTCGGTTTATTGATGACAATTTTTTTAGCGGAAAAGACGAAGCGGTGTTCAACGTTTTCGAAAGTACCTTTTTCCATTGCACGGTGGTGGTCATTTTTATAATTTTTTTCCTATTTCATGCGGTGTTGAATGATAGATTGTATTTATACCATATCTCAAGGCACAAAAACAATCATTAAATTCAAGGTTTGATTTAAAAAATATTTGCCCCTCTCCGAGACTTGTTAATAAACAACTTAGGTATTTTGTTGATAATTTTTGAAATAAGGTACATTTTTTTATTCATAGTAATTCATGATAATCATTAGAAAAATAAACTTTAAAATATTGAATAGATTATAATATGTTCTTCATATTTCTGATGCATTAAATTATTACGATGTAGTATTAGGTATGCATTAGGAACAGGACCCGGCAACGTCAAGTCATGAACAAATACAGGTACAAACGATTGAAATCGTGCCATTCGCCTATTCACAATCGTATAATTAAAATAATATATGGAGTAGGTAGTCAATTTATGAAAATGGAGAAATTCATTGAATGTATGACCTACATAATATCTACGCATGGACCTAATTGTTAAAAGCTACCTGTTTCATGAGCCTAAAATAGGTAAATAATACAATATTCATAGGCTCCGGAAATGTATATTACCTAAACAAATTTAACTTTATTTCTTTTTATATATTTCAAGGATAACACAATTATTACCTAAAAATATATTTTATTCATACAATTTACAGTTTTGCGTAAACATAATAAAATATGAATTTACTAAGCTATTGGAAGAAATGTAAAAAAATTAAATATTAGTGTTTTTTACTGTCGATCTATACCATGCAATAAAATATATAAAATTCCGGGATGGTGCCATGCATTTGTACATAACAGTAAATTTTAAAAACAAGGTACACTGCCTAAATTGTTAGTGTGTTGCACCAGTGTTTGAACTAACAAAATATTTCCAATGATTTACTGTTTAATTTTTATACTCAATCCAAAGATTAGAGATTTTCATACAGTCTTAACAGTTCATTTTGAATTTTAGACACATATAGATACATAGAAGTGTAACAAGACCGCATTGGGTCGTGTTCAAAATAAAAAAAACGTCTACCATTATTTCTCGTAGTTTTAGGTGCAGTATCTTCGTATAAATCTGATTCAGATGGTCGTTCCCCTGGTGAAATACATCCTTAGTTGTATTTACGTATTACTCTTAGTTACGTGTCACCTATTTGAATACATTCACAAGTGTCTGAGTATTAAAACGAGTGCAACATGCAAACATACATCTCTACATAGATTAAACCATTATAAAAAAGTAGATGGTATAAGACCATGTTTTTGTAATAATGTAATGGCTATTCTTTCGTTATAAACAATAGAATACAATTTGGCCACCGATATTTCAATTTTTTAATAAAACAACATACGAAAATATGCTCACACTACAACGACACTGTTGAAGTTGAACTACTTGTGTAGTATATCAAAAATCATTAGTCTAGTCTAACTTTTCTATACAATATAATTTATTATCAAATATCCAGCAAATAAAAGGTACATTACATCATAAGTACTCTATCTAATAAAATACTCTTATAAAATTAAATATTGTAAGTAACACACTTATGTTAAAATTTCGCTGTAGGTCAAATATTCAATGAATGTTAAAAAATAATAGGTATGTTTTAAGGCGCGTATTAAAAAAAAATGTTTTTCCTAAGAAACATGTGAACACATAACATATTACATATAGGTACTGCATAACATCTATGGTTGTTACACAATATTGAGGTAGGTACTTAATATATTTGTTCCTATACACTGTATACAATGACATATTTAACAAATATTTGTTTGTACCTACGGTTTTATAATTTAAGACTACCTATTTCAGTCGTAAAAAAGCTGTTTACTCATAGTATAGTTACAACATACATTTTTTTTACATTCGACGATTCATTAGTCCCGAAAACAAAAAGAAATCTACAGCCGAGTCTTATAACATGTTTATATTAAATAACTTATAGGTACCCAACGTTTTTTTTTTTAAAACCCAAAACCCCAATTGTGAATACGCCAATGTATATTATATAAAATAATATTATTTAACACAATAAAGTATAATAATAAAAAATGTATTAATGTTTATAACATTTTAATTCTAAATGGATATGCTTATTTTTACAATTACTTATATTTTTTAAATTAAACAGTGATTGTATTGCATTAAAAACAAATATCCATGGAAAGTATTTTATGCTAAGATTAATCGAGTAGATAGGTACCTAAACATAAGTTAAACGTTGTACAATATAATTCTCATTATATGCGATGAAACAAACTTTATATTAAGTACTGTGACTGATCCAAATCCATTATAAAACAGTTTGTCGATGAAAACAAAATAAAGTCCATGAAGCACAAAAAAAACGTATACGGTATGTGTTTGTGTAATACCAATATGGTTACGTACCTAGGCAGGTGTCTCATAAAAATAAGCTAATACAATGTTGGTATTCCCGGTGCATTCCATTTATATATCGGTGTAGGTACATCTACGTGACTACTCGTAACTACTTAATACTTTTACAGCTTTTTTTTCTATATTACTACATTATAATATGATGCCTTCGTGGATTAATCGCAATTACATTGTGTCGTTACAAGTGCTTATGTGCGTAATAAATGAGTATGAAAGTTATTTTATTAATTAAGAGTAGAATATATTATGTAGGAGTCCAAATAGAAAGGTTGTATTATAGGTGTTTTTGACTATTTTACAATGTCATATCAGAATCAACCCTAATTATCGTAACAGCTAAAATCATAATTATAAAATGGCCTTCGTATAAAATGGAAATTATTGTCCAACAATGGAATCAAATACATAGTTAACAAAGTGTACATACAATTGAATATAATTAATATTATCGCAATGCAATTCAAAGCACGAATATAAAATGTTATTACATTACACCACGTACTATCGGTACGTATGGGCAAATAATAACAGCTATAATTAACGTTATTAACAATATTAAATCAATGGACAAATAATAATTATCATTATATACCTATAATATATTAATAAACGACGTATTCATTCCTATATCCTCACCAAATGGATCGTTTAGATTATTTTCAAACTACCAACCAACGATCATAATCTTTTAGGTAGGTAGGTATGTTATATAGGTACATTGTTTGTTTTTAATTCTAAAACCGAAGATTAAGTATGACACACAACAATATTACAGTGTCTTTCAATGAACATAACCATATCTAGGTATGTAATGCCAATAAGTAATTTTTAGATTTAAAACGACCTCTAATTGGCGGAAACCATTAGGTGTATGGCATATGGTATAAATATAGTATGATAGTAATGATAATTAAAAAAAAAACATACATATTGCATCAGTGAACTTATTACATAGGTGTAGGTAATATATTATTATGACTTGAAAAGAAAAGAAAAAAAAAATTAACTGAATACTATCTTAGCATATATAATAGTAGTATATAACGGGATTAGGAAGGTTATCATTGGAACAAGACAAATCAGTATAATATATTATTTACGGCCGGTTGATATACATGATGATGATATATTATAATAATAACCTATACGATTGATTGAATTAAGTTTGTCGAGCAATACGCGATCGTCTAAAAATATATCTAAATAATGTAATTTTATAATATATAATTTATGTATATTGCGTGTTAAGTTATACATTATAATATACGGTCATTGCGTTGTCGTAGCGGACACCACTGCGTATAAAATAAAAATAAAAGTATATTATTATTCTATTGAATGCGAGTCTCCGGCTTAGATCAGGCGGAGAGAAGAAGTAGCGTTACTGATACATTTTATTAGGAAACACAGAGCCGAATACCAAAACCGCCTGATGGACTTGTTGCCTAGTAATATGTATCTGATTGCCAGCACGACAAACACCATTTGGCTAGTCCGGTGCAGGTAGTACATTCTGAAACAATGAACAAGAATGATAAAATATTAGGCTATGTAAGTTTTTGATTAAGTAGTCGTCCTTGACCGTTCACATTCCTTCGATGTACCGTTTTAATCGTTAATTCAAGTCGTACTCGTCTGGTTTTTAATTCCTAATGGATCGAAATACCTAACTCGATTATTTTATGTTTTTTTTTATCAGTGGGGTTAGTAAAAGCACTCAACAAGTTTTTATAGATTATAAATTGAACATTGTGATTTTGACAGATATTATTTTTTTATTTTCCAATAGCTATTGAAAAAATCAAAACATGGCGTAAAATGAAAACGCGTGCATAATGCTGATGATAATATTTTCAAAATATATACTTAAGCTATGTCAATCGACAATCAGTGTCAACATCAATCATTCATAGAAAAGTTTAAAAATTATATAAATATATATGTTGAGTGATCGATTTTACGGAAGTAATAAAGCTTGCAGACATTTATAGTTTACAAAAGCCAGGCTGCGATGCTTCAGCTGGTTTAGAAAATCCAACCAGTTAATTTAAAAAAACAGAATTAAAAATGCTACTAGATAGACATAATTGATGTTATTAAATAAAGCAAAAACAATGCAAAATTATTTGAAAATGTCGACCGATGCAAGTATTTTTAAAAGTGCAATACAATTTTAGGGGTGGGGTTTATAAAGTATAGGCAATTCAATCAAACAGTTAATAAACTGTACATAATTGCATTCCTAGATAGCCTTTCAGGCTGTAAACAATTAGGAAGGGGCGCATCCAGCCATCACCCCTAGTAGAGGAAATGGTTATTTTATATAGACAGCTGTCAAAATATTCTTTCGTAAGACTATGTTAGTTTATTTAGGTACGAATAAAACCAAAACTTAGTTCTAAACATACCGTCTCAATCGCAATTTAGCGTTGGGCACAGTGCTTGGGTGGTCTTTGAGGACAAACTGCCTGGTACCCCATATGTATGACTCGATGTAGCTCCGCCACTCCAGTTGAGACACGTCAAAATAAAATGTCTTTTGGTCATTGGGGTCAAGTTCGGTGAATAGTCTCTGCACGTTTGTGTTCTTGAAATTCCATTCGTGCGTGGTGAAGAATTCTAGACATGACACCGCCTTCTGAAGCCGTTTGTGAATTCGAACTAATCTGCATGTATACATACACAGGAAAATGATTAAAATGTATTATGATCTGTCTTGGTACTTTGTTTACTTATTTAAGTACACACGAGTATCGACAATTGTAAATTAATAAACATAATTGGTATTTTTTTCTCCGTTGCATAGAAGAATCAAGCTCACAAATTGCAGCTAATTCCGGTATCATAGTCGATAATAATTAATATTTATCAGTAGCTATTCAGTATTGGACTATTATTACCTAGTTATTATTATACAAGGGATAAGTGGTAAGATATATCCAAAGATTTTGCAGAAACAAGAAGGGACCTAATTTAGAACTACAATCTATAACATACCAATGGGTAATGAATATTAAATTCATTAACATATTTTGCAACAAAAATTCATATTTTTCACAAGTTCCTTTTTCGTTTGGTCCAAATTAAGTACCTACCTAAAGGTAAGCTAACTCTTTCATATTATAGATACATTTTTTCAATTACCTAGTGATTACTTATAATATTTAATGATAATATGAAGAATCTTAAACCTTTAGGTTGGGGTCACAGAAGCGTTTTATACTTTTATTAACGCAGGTTAATAAATCCGTTGTTGAATCTTATGATAACCATTATTGTCAATGGTCACGCACTCAACGTCCGTTCGGCGTCGCTGACATTCGGATACACGTTATAACGGAAGTTAACTTTTAACATATAATGTTTGATTATGACTGGCGCTTGTGTGACCCCATATATCGAGTATAAGTATTTAAATGTGAAACACATTGATTTGTTGTGCTTGGGACCCTAGAAAGGTACATTCCAAGTACAAAGGTCGATTCATATTTATTATAATGGTCAACTGATACCTAATTCAAAAATTAACTCTTAATTTTAATTGTCATGTAATTTTGTTAATTATAAGAACATACTAATAGGTAGTTATATTTCATATTTTTAGTGTATAAATTAATAGTTAAATAAATCTCAAGAAATGTTGTTGGTGGTTTAAATTCAGATCTCACAATTTAACAGGTAATTATAAGATAGTATTAAGTAAGTGTAGTTTTATTGTGTGTATTGTAAACTTCTCCCAAAGAACAGGTAAACACAAAATCACACATGTAAACTGCCCCCGAGATTTTGTCAAGTGATAAACGTGATATGTAAATATTAAAAATGAATAGCTACATTTTTGCAAAAAGAAACAAAATTACTAATCTAAAATTAAAGTATCTAATTTATACTTAGTCAAATACAGCCATAGCATATGGATAATTAATAGAATAAAATTGAAAATCAAAAAAATATACAATTTTAAAAAGTACAATATTAGGACAAATAATAACATATTGTTGGTACATACTCATCAATTAAAGTTTGACCACTATTATAATTATTAATTCAATTTTGTAATTTTTTGGTATTTAAAGGGTTCATTTATAAAATTTGGTTTTGTATACGTTTCTATTTTAATTTATTTTATTTTTTCTATAAACATGAAAATATTTGGATGAGTTGTATAAAAGCTGGAATTGAAGTGAGAATGAAATGACGCCCAACATTAGTGGTTACAGTTTGCTCTGCTGATGCTTGAGCCCATATTTCAGGTGAATACTGAGCTTCTTCACTTATATATACATCTACCAAATAATCGGCAAATAGTGTCATTTTTTCTATGCCGGGTGTAGTGATAACCATCAGTTGTCGTATACCACAATATTTATTCAATAACGTTTCGGTATGTTTATAAATACCATGGTCTTGGACAAAAATAAAATTTTATTGAAAAAGTACACAATCATAGATTCTACTTTAATAAGTTAAAAGTGTTGTACAATTTACGAATGAGGCGCAGCTAACATAATACCTTTTAAACAAGGATAACAATTTGAGAGGAGTTTGCAAAAAAAAGAGGTCTTATGGGCGTAGTTTACGTATGCCCTATAGTTTTACATGATTAACAACTGAGAAGTAAGATTATGTTAAAAATCTTAGTCTTATAATTTTGTATGTTTGGAATGAATAGTAACATTGATCATACATATATTAGGCACGCAATGTAGATATAATGATATATATGATAAAAATGATGTTATTGGTCACCAATAAAAACCACTACCAACTAGTCATTACGAATTTGTTTGTCATAGTTTTCTGGGGTTAATATTATTTACCTTCCTTAAACAATTAAAATAAACTTAAGATCATTTTTAAAGTCATTATTATGGTCAAAAAGTATTATAGAAAGTGTATTTGGCTCTTTTTGTAGCATTAAAAAAATTAATGTTCTATGGCTTTTAAGTTGGTAAAATACATGTGTATGAAATAAATAATATGTTTGTACATAAATATTAGAATGTAATTAAACCTAGTCTAGAGTTATTCTAAGCGTATGACTGTGTTAACAATAGCAACTATGTATCCAAAACCCGAGTAACTTATAAGTTGTAACCTGCATTCGGTTAAAAATAAATTGTCATCAATCTTGTCATACTCTAAATTCCAAACCCTAGGTAATCCTATCTTGGCGAGTGTGCGTGTAAGTACTTGTAGTCCGTGTCAAAAGTCATCATTTTTTTAAAATTTATTTGGGATACCTGACATTTTTTTCTTTTTATTGTTCATGGTCCCGGATTCTCTTAGTTACCAGATTGGCCTGACCGATCTATGCTCATTTTATAGACACTGTCGTACTGGCATGTGTAACTTGCAGTTAAGAAACCAGTAACTTGTGTTCTTGAAGTATATTTTTATTTATTATTATTGTTAACTGGTGTATCGTATAGTTAAATGATAAATCTTTTTACTATTTATTCATGCTTATGACTTTATGAGTCATGTTATATAATAGGTATAATCTAAACAGTATTTCCCTTACACTAAAAATTAAAATTATTATATTTATGGGTTTAGACATGAGTTTTGACAGCGTACCAATACATATTATTAATTCGGGTGTTTTCCGTTATAGTTATTATGAATCTAATAAATATTTTAGTAACGATGAGATACTGCATTTGATTACTTATGTGTATTAATTGTGCAAATATATATTTATTGTAATAATAATAAATATTTGTACGTTATTCAATTTAAACTATACAAAAATGTATTTGCCACTTTGACATTCTTGAATTTATTTTCAATCATACTTACAATTTCAATTAGTAGATTAAAGCATAGTAATATGATTATAATATTACAAGGTTAAAGAATGTAAAATATTATTATTTTATCTTTTTTACATAATTTAATGAGTTTTTAATTATTAAACTTTTTACTATAAAATATAAACTAAAACTGATGTATTAAGACGATTCCGCGCGACTGGTATACTTGGCCAATGTTGGTCACTGGTGGCCAGTGACCAGCCGTGTGGAAAGTTGAACTGGTACAAATGTTGGTCACTGGCCGTTTCCCGTCGATTGTCGGTGAATGGTGCACAAGTCAAAGAACGGCCAGTCATTATTATTGAACATTGGTTAAGATCACCAGTTGTGTGGGAGATATAACCTACGACCAGCCCAATATTTGCCAAGTGCCACATTGGCCAAGTACCTACACCAGTCGTGTGGGACCGCCTTAAAAGAACGAAGATTTGAAAAGGGACATTTCATCAAGGAATAAACAATTAAAATTATCATGTGTAAGTACTTCATACATTTTAAAACAATTTAAATGTTGAAACTTGTCTAGATATATTATAATATTAGTAATAGGTACATGTTACATGTTACTTATTTTATAAAATATATTTTTATTTCTTTTCATAAAATGCAAGTGGCTGATCTAATCAACGTCAAATCTAATTAAAAAAAATAAAAACAAAGTCTTTATACTGTTTTTGTCGAAAAGATGAAAAAATAACGAGTTAAATTTCCTCACTTCTGTGAAGATGAAACAGCAACAAGGGACAAATTTATAGAAAATAATAATTATAATTTATGAGTTATTACTGTTCAGTGAGTATATAATATAACAACTAGTATTAATTAATAATAATCCCAAGTTGACTACTAATATGAAAACGTGACTAATGTGAAACATCTTTTATTTTGTTCTAAAAGTAAATTACTAGGAAGTAAGACGTTGGTAAATGTTTATCTTAAGCCATCGCAGTTTGCTATTTATTAAGGAGCAAAATTATTGGCAACCTAATTCACATATTATCGTTTCGACGTCGAACGATCGTGTGAGTATGTAGTAGTGTAAATGGTTATTAGTGTGAGTGGATTGAAAAAGGCGCACGCACTCGCAGATGCCTACATGCCATTAAATTAACAAATAACGAAATATTTTGTTGTCCGTTTCGGCGAATAAAAATGACTTCACGGAAATATGGATTGCTCGTTGACCACTGAATATTTTTAGACAATTTATTTTTTAATAATTGACAAACAACGACATTTTGCAGAACGCATTGAACTCGGAGTTTTTATTTGATTGTGAATAATGGTAAAAATTATTTGTAAAAGAGCTAAAACTTGTTTGTTTTTTTTTTTAAGACTTATAATTGAGTTTGACATTAAAATAATGAAAAACAAAGTTCGATGAAGGCTGTAAAATATCAAATTTGGTTGAGAATCCTTATATCCCGTAAAGAGTCTATTATTGTGGTCAAATTCACATTATCGCCGGGAGCCTTAATATTAATGTTATTTATACGAATTGGTTAAATAACACTTCTTAGGCATAAATAGCCAAATAGGTCGTAAATAGAAACTTAGTGTAAATTCCTCTTCTATTTAACATCATTTCAATAAAAAGACAAACATATCAAGGTGAGCTTTTACTATTGGTATGATTGGTATACACACATGTCATAATTATTATACATACTATTTTTATCGTAATAAATTTTATATATGACACTTATAATTATTATAATTATTAGCTATAGCTAATCTAGTGATAAATATGATTATCATACCAATAGTTCAAGAGTCAAAGAATATTTATAATTTTTGAAGATATGGTAGTATATAAGTTCTGTTTATTGTAACGAGACACCACCCTGTATATATTTTAAGGTTAAGGCGTCGTAGTTTATTCAAAAACTTCAAAGTAAGCTTTGACAGTATGCCGTAGTTGATGTGGTGATATTTATTTCTCTTTAAGCTTAAAAAAGGTAAAAATAGAAATGTATTGAACTTTAATATGTTTTGAGGGTTGAATAATATTTAATGGGAAAAATTTGCTTTCAAGTATGAATACTTTGAAATACTTTTTTCCTGAGAATATATTATATCACTGTGGCAAATATTCCAAGGTTAACAATCAATTTTATAAAAAAAATATAATAATATTATGAACTTGACATAAAAAAAATGTAATTTTTCAAAATATTAATAATAAAAAAATAAAATAACCACCTTTTATTTAGATATATTAAAGAAATAAAATATTAATAGGGAATCAAAACGTACAAGGTACAGCATGAAAAATTGGCATTTAACAGAACCAATATTGTGCTGTTTGTTTAAATTAGAGTGACCTATTACTAAATTCAAAAGTAAGAATATTATCTAAACATTTTTGTCGACATTTTAATTTTAAAGTAATTTGTAACCGTAAAATATTATAATTTTTAAGCACTCATACTTCTTTAAAACTCAAATATAAACAGTGTTGTAAAAAATACTTTTAAAATAAAGTATTTAAAATACCTCCCCAAATACTATAAATAGTAAAGTATTTGAGTAATACTCAAAAAAATACTTCTCTGAAGTATTTAAAATAATCTTCAAATACAAAAAAAAAAATCTCTTTAGTTCTGAAATAATTTGTTATAGTAGAAAATTTGTATATTGCATTTCATAAACATGATTCATTCAATGATCAAAAAACTGATCAGTCATGTTAGTTATTTTTTAGTGATAGTTGCACCACAACAATGAATTTTTCCTTACATAGTTATATATTTTTAAAGCTATATTATGTATTTGTATATCCCATACGGTCATCGATCTTCGTCCACGATAAACGATAGTGATAATTGATAACCATTTTCTTGGTAAGTAGGTACCTAGTACTAATAATTAGTAATAATATTTTCGCATTCCGAAATGGTAAATAGTTATAAATCAAATCATAGCTTTATTTATATTGGACGATAAACTATTTCCTGGGGAAAAAAACATTTAATCAACGAAATCCGATATCAAATTGTCCATAAATTATAAATATATAACGTTGAAGCATAACCACGATTATTATAATATAAGCGACATAGTATGATCGTAAAATTCCAGATTTGGATCAAGTCTGCACATACGTCACTTACTTATCCGTATTATCATATTGTCATTCAATTATTACTACAATATACACTACGCTATGTCACGTGCTTACCGAAGGATCTGACCTTCAAAAAGTTACGATCATACCTTGTTGTATATCATGACCATGATGGCACGGTATTTTTATTTAACAAGAATTATAAATGAAAACAAATTAAGAATTAAAATAACAAAAAAAATTATTCAATAAAATAGTATTCAATAGTAAAAAAAAGTATTCAATACGGAAAAAAGTATTTGAATACTTTTACTCAAAAACTTTACAACACTGAATATAAATAACAGTCAATGAGATGCCCTTGATACATTACTTTTAAATTTGATAATAGCTTAATTCACTCTAATATTAAATATAACAATACAAAATAGTTTTTGCTAAACTCAGATGTTGTACGTTTGTGAGACAAAAATATATAATTAAAATAAATATTCACAGATTGTAATCACATAAATTTCAAATTAAGAAAAAATATTTTTGGTTTTATTAATATGTGGTTTTTTTTATTAGGTATATTAGAGAATATGATTATATATATATTTTTTATCATTCGTATAACGAAATAAATTCATAATACATTATGTTTTGTATGAAATGTATACTATTATTCATTAATTTTAAAATTAAAAAAAAATATAATCTTGCAAGTAATTTCATTATAAAATGTGTCCATTTGTATCTTGTATATTATAATTATTTGCTCATAGGTACTTATAGTAGTATAAAGATTTTATTTTTAAAATCTACCTTCATTTATTAATTTATTACTTTCATTTTTGAATTTCTTAAGAATACATTTATATTTTATGATAAATGTATATTTTTTAATTCTATAATATTGAGGAAAATAAATTTCCAACTATAATAATTTTATCGTATCAACGACTTTGAACTGATTTATTATTTATACATTTCTATTGATTGTCCCTAGTTGAAACCTATTAAAATACTATAATTTAAAAAGTATATTATGATGGGTGATGACAATTTCTAGCTGTAAAAACCAAAGACTGAAAGGAAAATGGTATATTATGTTTTATTATAATATGCAAAACTATGATTTCATATTTAATGCTAAAATGTGATAGCTGGAAATCTTGGTGACCAGCGACCTTTATATAATTATACATTTCTGATCATCTGATCTATTTATATAGACTCTAGAGTAAATAATCAATTGAAAAAAATTGTTTCTATTTGTTTTTTACTTTTAAAAAAAATGTATTGTCACTGATGCTTCTTCGCCAGAATTTTTTTTAAATTGACATTTGCTTTTTAGAATTTACCTGTTAACTCACTAACAATGTAAAAAAAGGTCGCTCATGATCGAGCTACCAACTATCATGCAAATATTCCCTCACTGAAGCTGAAATACGTGAATTTGACACGCATTGATGTCAAACGAACCCCTTGTCGTTTACTGTTAACCGTCAATGGTATTATCAAATTCTATATAGTTAGGTATAATAGCTTTCATCGCTTACAACCAATAAAGATTCATGTTTTTTTTTTAGCGGTAAGTCACTATTATGTTTAAATAAATACCCTTAATAGTTTCTATAGTTCACTGTTGACCTATATAGTTTTATAGGATAAAAATCAGGCATGTTTCCCAGTTATATTGTTATAATTTCAATCAGCATCGGTACCTAATGCATAAAATATGCGTAGGCGTTTATAAAATCTTACCTCGGTTGTCTACCGGTAATTTTGGCGAGCGCGTCAATGACGTAGGCAGGGGCCATCTGAAAAGCTGCTACACACAAATAGTTGACGACTCTGTTGCTTTTGAAACTGCCACCAGGATACCACAAAATGTCACTAAATGGGTTTTCCAATATGAACTCATGGCCCAACCGTTCGATGTCTTTCCAGTAAATCGGATTCGTGGTACCTGACGTACAATGATAGATTTCTATGCCCTTTGGCCTGCCAAAAGTCAAAATTATTAAATATGTTTATATAATATGAAAATAATATATAATACTAATGCTATATATTACTAATATATATAAGCTGAGTAGTACGTTTTGTAAAATTTAACCTGAAGGCTCAAGACCGAGACAGATCGAAAGACGGATGACAAAATATCACGAACTGTATAATAACTCACGATAAAATGTATTTTTAGAGTTATAAATTATAAATTAATAATTGTGGTTGGAAAATTTGATTCAATATTAAAGCAATACTATTTATTCCCTAATATTTATACCTAATGTTATCATGTGGGGTAGTCATCATATTATTATAATTAAATAATATTGAGTTAACATTATTTTCGTTCTAGCTATTGAGGGGTGGGTATACTAAAATTATCATTATCATCAAACTTTACAAACTTTTTACAATGAGAATAGCTTTTAGTTTTGTTGGAAATAATAAAAGTCGCTATGTGATTACAAACAATTCATTCGAGAATCATTTTGAGTTAATTTTCATGTTGTAGTGACGGTTAGCCTGAGAAGTGTCCAGTTGAATTTCGATTAGATGGAGAACTAATAGTTGGTACAGCTTACGTCGATTTTTGAATGAGGTTTTTAAAATATAAGTATCGATACAATTATAGTTATCTATATGAGATGAGCATTTATTTTTGATCCGTTTTATGAATGGCCATGTTAATTTTACAATATTATAATTATAAATAAATTGGATTTATTTTTCTAGAACATCGGCTATAATAAAATATTGAGTAAAACTAATTGAAAAATTAATTACAGTTGTATAACTTTGATTAGAATGTGTATTAATGAAATAATGATATTATCTATTATTTTTTAGAAATGTTTTTATTATAAGGTATAATATAATAAGTTATAAAAGAAGGAACAGAAAGTGTGCAATATTTGTGTTGAAATAGATTATCATAATTTATAACAAGATAAGTTTCCACTTTACCACCGTTGTACTTGTGATTATTGTTCCAAACTATCACAACCGTATTTAATAATCCATATTAAATACAATAAGTATTTTATATTTCAAATAAAAATAATTAGTTGGAATATTCAAGAATGTTTTTAAGAGACTTATGTTTATAACCATCTACAATCCATAGAATATCTGCATGATATTATTATTATATCGCATCCATTGTACAGTATCGTGGTTTTCAAATGGTAGTAACATATTGTATTACTTGGTATAATCAATTGTATTGGTCATTTCAGTAATAATGTAATGCATGTGAGAACTGCGAAGTACAGATGCAGAGATTCACAGGAAGGGTGGAAGGTGGCATATTTTGCATATTACAAGTAGGTACATATTATATGAGTATACCCAGAATCACTGTTGAATGATTGAGTGCCAACCACTCAAAGTGATTACTTAAATATCTAATTAGGCATACAAAATGAGATTTATGTTGAAAATAAAAGTTAATTACAATACATTTAATAACGCAGTAATTAAAATCAGAGTGAAACGTTGCTAAGTATATTCTCATATGCAAAATACGTAACCAAAAGTGTTGGGGCACTAATCCCACTTTGCTGACTTCGGCGTTGGATAATGGTGTGCAGTGATATTAAATTCAAGATAAAAAACATATACATTGCATTCGAAGAACGATTCTGAGCGAAGCGTGGTTAAAAAAAACTATGATTGCGATATTTCTTTATAAATGTTTGATTACCATTGACATTTTTACCGTAAAAGGAACTAATGAGAAAACCGAAAAATCACTTTCTGTCAAGACTCAAACTCTGATATTCATAAAGACAGTACATGATATTTCTTTTAGCTCTCCTGATTGTACTCAACGAAGTGTTCACAGTAAAATATAATCCAAGTAAATTTAAAAAATAAAATAAAACATCATCGTAAAACCAATAATTTCCTCGCTTTGTTCAGAATCTAATATGTGCGTGGCAAAATAAAATATACATTTTAAGGCTCAAAAGAAATGTGATACCATAATACAATTGCCAGTAGTAGTCTACAGGAGTGTACTTGTACTTATCTAAATTGACATTGGGTTTTGTATACTCGATATAATAATACATTTAATTTAATTTTGATATATACTTATATGTCTGTTTACTTCAGGGATTTATACGACGGACAATTGTAAAGATACTATCGTTATTAGGAAAACCCATTAACTTGAATTCATGCAAATCACGTCATCGGTTTATTTACTTTCAATGAAACGTATTTTGGATTTCATGTTTACGAAAACTAAAGCTGATGATGTCATAGTAAAATATGTTACCTATTGGTGGCCGTGTACCAGGCAGCCGATATTAATAAGTTGATACATATATCTACTGGGACCAGGTCAGCAATCAAGTCCTTGTGACACAGCAGTGTCCTCAGAACCCCTTTGCCGGCGCCAGCCAGCAGACCCGTCGGCCCATTTAAATTGTCTACCCATCCTAATATCGGTTCTCTCCACGATGCGGTAACTGTGTTCGTACAAAAAAAAAACAAAAAATGCAATAAATAAAAAAAAAATTGAAATAAATAATTAAGTGCAATGCGTGATTTGAAATAGGTGATGTATTTTATGAGTACAAACCCTTATCATGTACATATAATAATATATTACAATTCCCTGTACAAAAGTCAACTGTAACTTACCTATTGAAGGTCTGACGATGACTATGGGTAATCCATCGCCTAGTAGTAACAACATTTTTTCCGCTAATGCTTTCGTGAACGTATATGTGTTTGGCCATCCTTTGATAATCCTGAAAAACAAAACCAATACGTTTCACTTGACCGCTTGATCCAAAACTAACATTAATGTTCAATATTTTACATGATAAATTGATATTTTATCGAAATATTTATTTCTATTAAATATTAATACTGTCATTATGTGTCATTATGGTCATTTATAGGTATAAGACAATTATGCTCTAATCGAGTTTAGAATTTAAAAAATCAGCTTCAATTAAATACACATGCATTTTTGTATGTATTTAAAATTCCAACGGCCCTCTAACATCTATAAATATGTGCACATATCTAAATTTAATTACAAAAACACTATACATATTTTTTAATTAGATAATTATTAAAAGAAATAATAATAATTAAGTAGTTTTAAATATTAAATGTGCTTATAGGTGTACAGTATACAAATAACTCCTCTTTAGTTTGATAAAAGAAACTTTAATTAGTTTAGTTCTAGATAGGTAGGTAATAATGAAATGTTCACTCTACAAAACAGGGAAACATCGACTGTTATATTTTAATGTCTGTTTTAATTTTATTTTTCTCATACAAAATATAGTGGCGTAATTTTAATAAAAATAATAATCGTGAAGTAAATCAACGTTAAAAAGTGAAAACTGAGTTTCCACACTGAGATGATGTAATTCTCGTATTAATTATGCTAAATTGCTATTCTAGCGTAGGCATGTGTGTTTGTATGTTATTAATAATTTGGAACTGTATTCAAATGTCAGAAATATCTTTAAGTCCAATCGTTGTTAATCCTATCACAAACATGTCCATAGAGCTTTGCTTAGAGGCCAAACCCTACCCTGACCCGCCATCTCAAGTGATACCGATGCGGTTAGTGCAGCAAACGCAAGGACTGCAGCCAAATGCGCGCCTTTAAGCATCGGAGTTCGTACAAAGTATTAAATTTAACTCAGTTTTAACATTAAATCAATTAATTAAATTGCATAGCTTGATTTATTTAATTCAAACACTGGGTGCATACGTAATGTTGATTCACGATTTTATCGTTTCAACTCGTGTCTAACCTTAATAAATTCATTGAGATTTTTAGCTAAAATTGAGTAAACAAATCCTAAACAACAGCCCAATGAGATAATAATTAATATTTATATTCAATAGCCGTAAAAACATAGATCTTTTATATTATAAATACATTTTACTGGTTTTAATTACAATTCATATCTTAACCATCTGTACGAGTAGTGAGACATGTTCAGTCTCATGATTTCATTAGAAGTTTTCATTCACTTTAACTGCAACTCATTATTTTTACTTGTCAGTGTTTTAAATTTAATGAACGTATACTTTGTACTTATTCTCCAAACTGCGTAGAAAGAGCCTAATTAAGAGATAAACAATTTTAAGTTATGTCCCATGGACTGTGACGTGTATTGTTATTTGTTAATATTATTTTACATTATCACAAACATGATTCACCAAGCATGATCACCCCAACCCCCATATTTCTTTTAATAATGAATATTTTAAATTCCGATTTTGGAATTTTCAACTAAATAAAGTATATGTTTGCAAATACGAATTTAGATTTTAATAATATTTTAAGAGTAGCCTGTACTTCTGTAGCAGTTCCAACTTCATTTTTTTTTTCAAATTAAATTTACAATTTTTCTTTAAATTATTTGATAAATGACTTTTTAGAGAATAATGTCGATGTATCTACATCGAAATTCGAATGACGAGTTTTTGAGTTAGGTATTTAATTGTCTGTACTTATGCCTAATGATAATATAGGTTTGGATCTATTATTAATTCAAAAATTATTTTAATTTATTAGTATTCATCTATCAACATTTTATAATTTTTAAAAATTGTTCGGAGTATAATAAATACTAATAATTCAATGTAACATCCAATTTACAATTTTTTTAAACTGTTTTTAAGGAACATTTTATAAATTATAAATATAATATTATCATTATTAATATTATATTTCTTTAGCATATATTATATATTAATAACTCATAAACTTCTCATTTTCATTTTTATTTAGTTCAACATTTTCAAAAAATTAATTTGCTTAACAACTAACAATAAAAAAGGTTGGTTATCATTTGAAAAATTAGTTTGTACCATATGAAATGGTATGAAAAATATAAATAATTGAAAGCATAGCATCGAGTATACTAAAAAATTTTAAGGATTTGAATTTGAATAAAAAAACAGTAGTATGCATACTTGGTGAAACACTCAATATACTTACCTATTATATTCTATATTTCAACTATGTTTAATTACCTATTTTATTTTTCGTTACACATATTTTATCGAATATTTTATTTCAATTTTGAATCTATAAAATATGCCCCCCTCCCAGGGAAAGAATAGCCGCCTCAGCGCTGATCGTCACCAGAATAATTATAGTACCTATATGTTATAAATTCAACTACAGCTCTAAAAGCTCCTGGTATCATAATATTGCATCCATAAAAGTCAGTACCAATACCTACACACTTATAAATCCACGTACACTTGTTAACCAATTTTTTTAATTGATTAAAAATAATTTTCCCTAGAATTTTTCCAGTATTTGAGATTTTTGCTAGGTACTTTTACTATTTTTCATTAAGTTGTCACGATATTCTCCTTCATAATAACTTAATTTATCATATTACTATTTAGTTGAATAATTATAGCTACGTAAAATGCATAAAAACATGAAAATAGACCTATCTAATTGTTGTATCATCAATATGTCGTAACGATTAGGGCTAGGGTGTGTACAACAGTAAAATATGCATTTAATTTTGTTAAAATATGTTAAGATATACAATAAACTTATTGCAAAGTATATAATGAATTTACCAATAATTT